GGACTGTCACTTGATAAGGGAAAAGATTGCCAACAACACCATCAAGCTGCAATACATACCAACAACTGAACAATTGGCAGATGCATTGACCAAAGCTTTGCCAAGGGCTACCTTCACATCATTGATCTCCAAGCTGAATACACAATGTGCACCTTCAGCTTGCGCGGNNNGGGGGGTGATAATATACATGTATCTTCAATTGTAATTTTACTATTTTAGCCTTCCATTATTTGTAATAAGGATAAGTTGTCACTTGTGTTTGACAACTTTAGTTGTAGGAGCTCTAGTATAAATAGGGTGTTGTGTACAACAACAAACCCTAATTCTCACTTTACACATTTCAGATCGTTTTGCTTTTCTCTCAATAATATTCCTCTCTTATTTGTTTGTTCTTCATCTCTGTTCTTCATCTTCAATGATTTGATCTGTGTATTTTGAGTTTGTTATATCCATTCGACTCTTCCTCTTTTCACGTGATAAATTGTTTGGCCTCTGCAACAACTGAAAAGAAAACAAACCAAGCGTATGAGCTTTTACACAATTAACGAAAATTTTCAGGAACGTATTTGCTTATTTTGTGTCGATAATAGAGAAGGCGAGGGAGCAATTCATATATTCCCAATCATATACAAAGCAATAGATAACCAGCAAGTCCTACATGGATTAACATTACAATCATTGATTGACATGTGTTCAAAATCGTTAGCTTTCAAAGCCATAGCATTGGAGATGCTCTAAGTGTTATTCTCCTAATTAATTTTTGCTTGTTGAAAATCCAAAATTAAATTCGAATTTCAGAATGGTATTGATTCAGATATACATATGTTTAAATTATGACTTTGTATTACACAAACCTTAGCAAAAATAAAAATGATATTGATTAGATATTAACCCCAATGTAGTAACCCCATATCATGGCTCGACTAGTACAGAGCCCATGTGATGTACGGGGCACAATTTTAAGGTCATTTATCCAGTCTCATAATTATATAAATGAATAAAGAAAAATGTACATGATATATATAGTACGTGACCTGTGCGAGACACGAAATATATATTTATTTGGGGATTATTATACTATAAGATGCAATATTCAATAAACGTTTTATAATACTTAAATTTAAATAATGTAAATATCTAAATACATACACGATATGTAGAATAAATAAACCAAATTGCAAATCTAAAAATATAATTAAAAAAAATCAAAAATATATTTCACTAAACATGTACAAAAATATCTAAATACATACACGAAAAAATATACGTTTCAAATTTTGAAATTAAAACAAAAATTCAAATAATTCAAATAATTATTTTGAGATTTTTAATTTATAATTGGTAGGGTAGATATATATTGCTGTTAATATTTTTATTAGAAATTTTGAATCTGAATATACAGAAATCAGTTTGAACAAAATCAGAATAGATTTCTATAAAATTAGATAATTAATTAAATAATAAATAAAACTTTTTTTTTTTTTATTTTAGTAAAGATTTTACGTACTTTTTTTTTTACTTATCGGATGTTATGGTGTTTTTTTTTGTTAAAGCGATTTTATGGGTATAATATAAATACAATTAGAGGATTGTACAAAATCAGAACAGATTTTCATACAATTAGATAATAAGAATGAATTAGATAAGGAAACGAAGGATATAGATAAGGAAGTTTAAATTTGTCTTTTTTAGTATAGATAGACTTTACGTACAAATGTTGACTTCACCGATTTTATGGGATTTGTTTTGACAAAATCGATATTAATATGGAATAAGACAAATAAATAAAGCTTTTTTTTTATTTTAGTAAAGATTTTACGTCCTTGTACAAAAAAAAAATGATTTTACGTCTTTATTTTTTACTTATCAGATAATATGGGAT